CGGCAGGCTCCGGCATCCACAATGCAGGAAGGAGCGCTACCGCAGGTCCTTCCTCCCATCAGCCATAAGACTGTTTAACTCCTTACACTGATTACCTGCACCCTTCACTGCCACTTTATTGTGCAATATGTATATTTTCTTGTTTATTATGTATATTTTTCTAAAGGTTTACTTTAATTTTAGAGTGCTTTTTGCTTTTTAGTTCTTTTTACTCTATTTATTGTGTTAACTCCTCTTCTCTCTTTTTCTGCACTGCCACTGGCTACTGTACTAGTATGTTTCCCCCAAGGGGGATGAATAAAGCCCTACTCTACTCTACTCTACTCTACTCTACTCTAATGCATGGTCTATGTTCAGTGTTTGGTCTCATTATCCCTGGTTTGCACGTTAATAATTGTCCTACATCTGCATTGCCTTGTGACCATAATGTTGTCAGTATCTCTGCTAAGAGGTTCTCTTGTTCTTTTGTCAGCAGAATTTGGACATTTTCAGTGGAAAGTTCAGTGAAGAGCTGTAGTAGGTGTTATCTGATGGCCATTCCCACTCAAGGTGGTATGCAGCTGAGGTAGCTATTACACCCAGTCGTTGCCATGACATTCCTTTTTGTTTTGCTAATGAAACATGGGTCACCGTACTTGCTGCATGTAATCTCTCTGCTTCTTCTGAAACCTTGACAGTAGCAACAGCTAAGCAGTCTTTATCTGTTATTATGTCTCGTATTAGAATTTGTTGAGATTTCAGTTTGTGCACTTTTTTATCAAAATTATTGTCTTGCCCTGGAGTGTGCTTTAAACACAAAGTTACATGCAGTTTATCGACCTGTTGGATTTGGTCTGGCATTTTTAACACATCTGTGGTTTTTTGCTAAGCAATGTTGTTGGGACACTCAAAGGCGGACCAGTGTTCAAATCTAATGACCAGAAATAGTTTGGCGTGCCTGTTCCTTGTACAGCCATAACATCAGTGTTTATTTTGTCTATTCTTTTCACAGTGATTCCACCATTCTCATTGGGCACAATTGCTAATCGTAACTGTGACATTGCATCTCTCCCTAATTAGTTTACTGGACAATTTGGTGCCAAAATAATTTACACTCAACATTTATTTCCATTTGGTGTATTCTTTCGATTCTGTTATGCCTTTTAATTCTTCATAGCACACAGTTCTACATGCTCCCGTCGGATCTTTTGTTTTTGGTTGGTCCAAGGTTTTTTAAATTGGATACAACGGGTGGGGGGGGGGGGGGGGGCGGAGATGTGTCACACATACATTCTTCTATGTCTGCATCATCTGAAAGTGGAGTTGCTGTATCAACATACTCTCGGCTCTGTTTGATGCTATTGTCTAATTGTCCTCAGGTCTGACATATATAGTTTTGTTTGTTTTTTTTACTTGATTGTAGTTTTTTATTCTGAACCATTGCTTCTGCTTTTAATTGTTTTAGTTCTATTCCATTCTTTCTCGTGCAAGCTTGTCGAAGCCAACATTCAGCCACACTCAGCCCAAGCTCTTTCTTCTTTCTTCTCTTTCTTTTTTTTATTGTCTTTTGTCTCTCTTTTTATGGTAAGAACAAGCTCTTTGCAGTCTACCTGTTTTAATTTTCCTTTAAAAAATAAAAAAATTCTGCCAATTATTTAAATCTTTACATTTGAAAACATTTGAATTTGAATGAATCTAATATTTGTCTTTTTGTTACATACGTTCATGTTTTTGATTTCTTATTTTATTCAATTTTTTTTAATTTTTAATTTTTTTAATTTTACGCTGTGTAAAAAAAAAAACAAAAACAAAAAAAATTCTTAATAGCTTTTTTAAAAACGAACAAAAAGAGGCCCACATAGAGGGAGGACAATGTCATCATTCCATATATTTCAGGAGGTTCGGAAAAACTTAGGAGGCTCTTTAACCAACACCAGATATCCGTACATTTCAAACCTGGCAACACCCTAAGACAAAAACTGACAAAAAGACTCCAAGAAATAAGCTGGTTTATGCCGTTTACTGCAGTGAGGTGTGTACGGACCTGTACATTAGGGAGACCAAACAACTGCTACACAGGCGCATGGCCCAACACAGGAGGGCCAACTCCTCAGGACAGGACTCAGTTGTTCACATACACCTCAAAGACAAAACACACTCCTTTGAGGACCACAATGTGCACATTTTGGCCAGGGAAGACAGATGGTTTGAGAGACGGGTAAAAGAAGCCATTTTTGTCAACCTGGAAAAACCATCACTCAACAGAGGAGGTGGGCATAGACATAACCTATCACCCACATACAAAGCACTTGTAGGAACAATACCCAAAAGATTCTCCTCAATTTCACATAACAAAGAGGCAGGTGACCGAAACCGTTCTGATGAGGACCACAACCACCCATCAGACTCTTAACGACTGTTTACACTTTCACAGTTGACCCCAAGGCCCCACCAAACAGGGTGGACCTGAAGTAGTTTTATTCTTTCACACCTAGAGTATATATTTGCTGTACTCCCCACCACCAGTTAGAATTGAATTGAAGAAGCCTCGTGGATGAGAGGTGTTAGAAAATTGACAGGAATGTTGTTAGAAAATTCACATCCAGTTGCCAAACAGAACTTTTCAAACTTGACCATGACCTCGATGACTGACTCATGAATCATAGACATGTTTCCTACCTATAGTTTTTTTTTACCTGAGTTAACTGCGCATGCGTACATCGGCCAATTTGCCTCTGCAGACAAGCCATAGTTTTCTGCTATCTGACCGTTAAACAAGTTTTTTTTAGTATTTTTAATACTTTATATGACCAGTATGCAATGCATCACTTTGACAGTCAAATTATTTCAACTTGCCACGTGTTTGAGATCGTGTCTGAATGCAGTTTAAATAGCTAACACTGCGACTTATTGTCATTTTCATGTAGTCATAAAACTTGCTCATGTAGCCTGCGAACTTATGTGTATGCAATTCGAATGTCTAATTGTGCTGTGATTTTCCAGCTGTTTTAAAACAGTACCTTACTAAATTTGTCTACAATTACAAGTCTCTGATATTGGCCTACAGACTTGGATGGAAGTGTATGGGTCCCTGACATTTTTCCAGGAAAATAAGCGTTTCTTCCATCGAGTTATTGATCGTTACACGTTTTAGTAGATATATATTCAGTTTATTTCCTTTGTGTGTATTTAAAAAGCAGAGAAAAAGGCTACTTTAACCTAATTTCCATAATTCTAACTATTTTATGAATTTTGTGTGAAATTATATTAGAGTAGCCTATTAGAGAAATATTCAATTTAATAGAAAAAAGTCAGGTGATCACTGTTGATCTTTCATTCTAAATGGCTGAAGGTTATATGGCAATGCACATAAACAGTTTAAACTTCTGTCTATTAAGATTCTCAGTCATCCAGCTCATGGTCAATGCTGAAGAGTTATGTTAGGCAACACAAGGGGGCCAACTCCTCAGGACAGGACTCAGCTGTTTACATACACCTCAAGGACAAAACACACTCCTTTGAGGACAACAACCTTTGTCAACCTGGGAAAAACACTCAACAAAGGAGGTGGGCTGAGACACACACAAGGTATGTTACTTTTGAATGGAAATTACTTGACATGGTCTATGGATGTACTGCACTTTTGCACTAACAAATATATTGATCATTTTATCAGGAAGCCATATTTTATCTCAGTGCCGTTGTGGCAAGCTCCCTCTTCTTTAAAAGTCTCCATAAGGTGATGTACCTATTAAGAAAGTAAGTCATTTCTTTTGATGTAGGGTCCTAACTTATCTTTATTAACGTACGTATTATCTATATTATTACAGATGAAGTTCTCAGCAGAGAGTGTGTGTCATATTTAAAAATGTCTCAGCTGGAACAAATTAAGCAGGCTGTGCAAGACTCTGTAGAGTAACCATTAAGCAGAGTAAAGGAAGTCCTTATACAGCCTGTTTATTGATATGAAATATGAAGGTACTTAGTACTTAAGGTTGTGAACATGGCAGAGAAGTTGCTCACTCTAATTGACTCAATGGGAAATGTGGATGCCTACAACAGGAAGATCCTGAGGAACTAGCGGTAATTTATAGAATCATTTGCATAGATATTTTTTTTTTCAAGAAAGAAAAAAAAGTTTTAAAACAATAATTTTAATGCTGCAATAGAAACTTCCTGAGGAACAGGTCAAGGGAGGAATCCAAATACGTGTGGACAGTGCACACCATGGACCACAACACACAGATGGATTTCAGCAGTTGAACATGTGTTATTATGTAGATAATGTACCAAATCAAGCACATAATTACATTCATATTTCATTTACAGTATGCCGATGAATTCCTTCTGAGTGGAAACATATCGGATGTGCAGACAACTCCAGAAGCTGTCTTTGAACAAAGGATGGACATAGCCTGTATCTTACTGGAAAATAGCTAAAAATAATAAAAAACAGTTTTCTGAAAAATCCTAGATTGAGCGTGATACCCTAAACCCTGAGAGAACAGATATAACAGGGATTTTCTGTGTAGCCTCTAATTTAGATTTGTGCTCGTACTCTAAATAGAGTCATAAGCACGTATTTATAGCGATTTCATTTCTATAGGAATGTGCTACCACTCTAACTAGAGCCAGAAGCACGCATTTATTTAGATTTGATGTGTATAATAATGTTCTAGCACCCTGAACACAAATGTCAAATATGGCTATAAATTTACGGTACGGGTAGAAAAAAACTTCAGGTAGGAAAAAACAAGAGTACGCTATAAATGTCTGATACCGGCCAATGTACGCATGCGCAGTTAACTCAGGTAGAAAAAAACAATAGGTAGGAAAAAACTTCAAAATATCGGCTTCAAGAATTTATTAAAAGTGCTTGAGCCACGCTGAAGTGTCACATCAGCATGATTTTATTTAATAGATTTTACTTTAATTCAGTCATTAGGATTGAACACACACACAAAAAAAACATTGTTATTCAAACTTGCATAATACAAAGCTCTCTCTGTGTTTTTTTAATTTTCCCCTAACTTTTACATGTGGTGTGTACATGTGAGTGTTTGATGATTGGATGACCGACTAGTTGCCAATTATGTTACTTGAAGTCATGTTGGAATCTTGTTGTGAAAGAAAAAAAAGATTATCTTACAAAAGATTGTGTTTCTTTTATATGTAAAGAAAAATCACACACCACTACAGATTGTCCTTATAATCAGAAACTGTACCCAGATAACATTACTGTAAATTCCAGAATATTAAGCACACCTGAATATAAGCCGCACCCACTAACTTTAAAAAGAAAAAAATAATTGTACATATATACAACATATCTATACATTATATATATTCTCTATAAGCTGCAGGTGTCCACGTTGTAACATGGGGTATTTACACAGAAAGATGTAACACAATTGTTTTTCACTTTTAATTACATAAATGCTTTTTTCCGAACAGTGCCTATAACACGGCAGGTTACACATTAGCTCTTTCCTGCTTCGGAGCCCCGACCATAGTTGGAATGGACAGGAGACGTAGTGATCTGCTCCAGGGCCAAAGCTAACATTAGCACTAGGGCTATCTTCCTTCCCTTTGTGCTTGTCCACAGCAGAGTTAAACAGAAACAGGGAAGTTGGGGTCTTTATTATCAGCCACACTGAGCACAACAGTACATAAATATCATTTTAACAGCTCCTGTGTAACCAACTCATGCTACAACATGACAGGGCTCAAACTGCTCTCAACTTTCGCTACCCATAAAAATCCATAAATAAGCCGCATCATTTGTTTAAGCCACAGGGTTTAAAGCATGTGAAAAAAGTAGCAGCTTATAGTCCGAAAATTACGGTAGTCATGTTATGTCATATACTCTGGCATATGTCCTTCTTATTAACATTTCAGTACCAATTATATTTAAAATAAGACTAATTATTAATCTAATTTCATTTGTTAATTCCTCTGTGTCTCTGGTAAAAAACATGTACACCGTAGCATGAAGGCCTTATTTCATGTGGGGAGATAATGTATGTGCCACACCTTCCTTTGCAGTGCCATGTGCTACTCTTCATACATCCTTTTCAGTCTTGTAGTTGTTTTATGTGCACATATGCTATTTAAGCCTCTCTACATAATTTATCCTTGCTGTGCCGTGTACTGTCATATTCCTGTCATTGTCCTGTAACATCAGTCATATTTATCATTTGGAAAAAAAATCTGACATGAGAAACCTTCAGACCATAAGCTCAGTGCTTGTAGTTATTTGTATTAATGGATGTATGTATGTGTATGCGCTCACTCACCTCTTTACGGTGTGTGTGAGTGAGTGTGTCTGGTTCACAGCAGGACTCCATGGACCATACTGAACACACGTGTCAAGGCTTTTCTGCAGCTCCTTGATCCTGATGTGAACTCTGTTAGTGTCGCTTTCTCGGCAGCTTCCTTCGCTTAGTCTGAGCTCCAGTGAGCTGAGAACACATACCACCTCCTGCAGTAGGCCAGAACCATCCACCACCTGTATGGACCCCCCCATCCCACCCCATGCCCCCCCACACACACAAACACACACTAACATTTATTTGGTCATATAACAGAAACACACATACAACATCAGCAGTATTCTTTAAGCAGTGGCATCACCTCTCCCACCTTCCTGTCTCCTCACTACTTAAAAGAATAATAATTTAAGTGTAAAGTGTAGAGTAAATAATATGGGTGACACATAATAGTAAAAATAATAACAGTAACAAATATAAGTTAAGTGAAATTACTTTTTTGTGACAGAAAGCCATTTTATATAAAAAATAGTTATTGTGTATTAGTGTTATTAAAGTCTTGTTTTTCTGTTGCTCCACTAATTAGTCAATTCTTATGGACCATTGGACAGTGCCCCTGCTATAATAAACCAGCCACCCTTTTGAATTTTTCATATTTCCTGAGCAATTACTATCTCTGAAAGTGATATGTATTCTTTTGGTAAATAGTTAATTAATTTTGAAAAAAACACATGCTACCTCTGCACTGCACTGCACATGGAATTTATATAAACCTTTGCAAGGAACAGAGAGGGCGCTTGTATAAACTCAAACATCACCACAACATTGGTGAAGTTCAGCTATTTTTTTTCTTTAAAGATGCAACTATTTTCCTCACCATCTGTAAAATGTGTGTTGGGCCACTCTGGAAAAACACAGCAAAGTTGACGAGGAGGCTAAGGATTAAAGTAGGTGCCAGTGGCGGCTGTTGAGGTGGTGGTGATGTTAGGAGAGTGATCAGCGGCTGCAGCTGGTCAACAGATGGAGGATGAGCCAGGTTTAAGAACAGAGAGTGAAGGTGCTTCCACAATTTTTGAGAACGAACCTGAAAACAGCAAATATAATAGATGATGTCAGCTGACACAGTGTGTGCATACACCAGTGTTATAGACTACACTGGAATTGAGAAGTGTTTTCTATGAAAAACTTAATCAATACATTTGAAATTCACAAATGATGAAGAGAGACAGAGTAAGTGGAATATAAGGAGAGACGGCGGTAAACTAAGTGAGTCTCCTGGGTTTGTGCGAGGAGGTGGACAAACAGGAGACAGAGAGATGAAACTCAGACCAGCCCACCAGACACTCACTGATAAATCAATAGTACATCACCCTCCTCACCCAGCTCCCCCTCTCATCTGTATCGCTCCCTCTCTCACTGCTCGCCTCTGTCTCAACTGTCTCGCTCTTAGATAGGAGTCATTCATAATTTATGTGATTCTCTCTGTGGCTTTCAGCACAGACAAACACAGGGTACACCCTATTGTGCTGATGAGTTACAGTCCTGCTCCTCCTGCTAAACGTGCTTACAAATATCAGCGAAAAAATCCCTCTATGAAGAACAGCGTTCCTTATCACTGAACACAAGCCCAAAAGTAAAGCTGACTAAACAGAACAGAAAGTCTATGGCCACAGTTTAAGACACGGTAATGGTTGGTGTACAGAGAGTCAGGAGCAGATAGATGGAGCCCTAGTGTGAACTAAGTTAAATGACATGAAAAAGTCATGCATAAAAGCTAAAATGCTTTTATCATTTTCTATGCCATCTATTGGAAAAACGTGGGTATTGCAGGGAAAAGGCAGAAGTATATTGATAATATAAATAAATCATATAATTTGGAAAAGTTTAGCAGGCCAGATTAAAAGGCTGAATGGGCCACATCTGGCCCTTGGGCCTTAGTTTGCCCATGACTGGTGTACAATCAGAGCTTTGGATTTGATATTTACATTTTTGTAGCTGTGATAGTTTCAATTCAGACCTAACTATGAATGGGAGGGGGCTATGGAGAAAAAAGTTTGGGAATCATTAGGACAAAACCTTGAAGAATTATTACACATGTAGATGTTAAAATGACTTATTAGAAAGGAAATGAATTTATTTGATACATTTTTGATTAATTTTGATATTGATAATATACAGATGAAGAAACAATTTAGGATCTTGTGAGAGACGAAATGTCTGTTTAAAAAAAAAATCTAAATAACACAAATTTCATACATTATGCCCTACATTTAAGGCAATCTTACCAGCTGCATAGTCCTGTGATGCCCCCTATTTGTGGGGTGGTGGTAGAATGTGAGCAGCCACAACAGTGCACTACAGTCCCTAAGATCGTTGGTGCTGAGCAGCTGGAGAGCAACCTGCACCCAGTGTGAACACTGAACAAGCAGAAACCAAGCCTCGAACACCTTGTGAAGCCCCCTGTAGGACAAAGGAAGAAGCAACACTTAGCAATAAGTCTAATGTCCTACAAATTGTCTAATTTTTTAAAAAATATAAGAAATTTAAGAAGACTAATAACAGGGACATTAATGAGTAGATACAGTTACTAGTCTATGTTTTGGTCCAGTTACTACTACTTCTACTTGCAACTTGCATCTTATCCTGTTATATTTGTTTATATCATTTTATCTTATTTAGGAATCTCAAACTAGCCAATTTGTAAACAGTTTAACAATTGGACCACCAGAACTACTAGGCTAAATACGGTTTTTATACCTATAATTCAAAGTACTCTGGGTGGTCTAACTCAGTTTCTAAGTTGCCCTGGCAAGTAATTGATCCCGAGCTCAGTTTTTCCAAATGAACAGCATGAATTGCAGCTTTTCTGAAGTGAGGTCGTAAAATGCAACACATAATTGTAAGCCCAGTAATTTACACTTAAGATGCTGTTTAAACTATTATTAGATTTACCCATGAACGAGGGGTGAATGGAGCAGGCCGAAGGCAAATTACATTTATTAGTCTGGTAAAAATATATTTATGATGTTTTCCTCATTTTCAGCCTAATGCCACTCATAATATGAGAAGATTTAAAAGTGAAAGTGAAAAAGTGGAGTGGAACAGTAAGAATGAATGAGATTGTAAATTAGAAGAGTGGTAGCTGTGGGTTCAAATTTTCCTTAATACTAAAATTAGACCTTGTCTTTCCTCTTCTGCTCCCTCTGTCTCCTCGACTTTCTCTTTGGCTCCTGAACACAAGCAGCAGCAGCCCTCGGCAGGACTCTGGTTGCTGCACACTCGCTTCGAGCTCAGAACAATGTTTTGGGAAATTCACAGCGCTCAAGAAACACAGAGTGCTGAGGGGGATAATGGGCCCTGGTTTTAAACCACAGCTGAAGGGCATCAAGTCAGCTGTCTCTATCCTTGGGACATCAAGTGCTTCTTGTCCTTTATACACATCCCTTTTACCCATTTTCGTAACTAATTAAGGATGGTCACTTGTTGCTTTTTCTCTTTAATTTGGTCTGTTTTTCCTTCTGTCCACTTGCATCCAGTTACTTTGTTTCTTCCATATTCCCTTTTTGCAACAATTCACTTGTTTTAAACACAACCCTCTCTTTCCTAAGCTACTGGTCTGTAATGAGCACTTGAAGGAGCCACAGAGCTCACCAGGACCTTTCTGCTGTGACGTGGATGGAAAATATCTGACTAAACACCACCTCAACAGCAGCTAAATGGAAATAAGAATTAAATGGGGCGATGGAAGCACAGGAACACATTAACACATTTTCTCTGCGAGACTCTCTGTCTCTAACCTGTGGCTACCGCTGCCTCCGTCTCCCTTCTCTTCCTCTTCAGTCAGTCTCTGTAATGAGCTGCTAAGCCAGTTCAGATGAAGTCGCCAAGCCTCCTGAGGCATCTCTGCAAGAAAAGATTCACATATGCAGACATCATGGATGCATTTACACAATTAAACTGGAATTAAATAGAGTTCAACTGCTAGCAGCCTATACAGGGCCTCAGTTTAAACTTATGGACAGGCATTTGTTCACACTGTTGTATCTTTAAGACATTAAATACTCTTCACAAGGTGGCAAAAATGGAGAAACTCTTCATGTCGTCTTTCTTTAATTCTTGCAAGTACAGTAGGTTTGTGTTAACAGGCCCAGGTTTCACACTGTGTAAGTACATAGCAAGTAACTTGAACCTAGATAATCATTATATTTCAATACATATACCGTTAATGACATAACAATATAAATATGTGCAGAAGCTCAACAAGGTATAAGAAAAAAGGCAGAAGCTGATGACATGTGCTACCTTTAAACCTATAAGAGATAAGCATTAGAGAAATAAAACAATGCAGCCAAATGTTTGTATTAGATTAATTGATGTATTAAATTAATACATTTGCCCGGCTGCAAATTTATTTTTCAAAATTCAATCAATATTCTCATCTATCTCTCAAGAATGAATACAGAGAAAAAACATTTTAAACACCCGAGGTTCTTTTTTTATTGCTGAATTTCTACCACATCAGAAAAGTCACTGAAGGTTTTGGTACTCTCCCTGAACACCAAAGTAAAGTATTTCTTTTGCAGTACTGTTGTACTGTGACTGCACTGCTTCTGCTAATACTTTTTCCTGGTTTCTCAGCAATATTTTGATCAGCTCCAAAAGACTGCAGCTGCACCTGAAAGCTGTTTCATTTTGACCTTTAAAAAAATAATAAGAATAAAAATCTTGTCAAATTAGTTTAAGACAGAAAAACTGTAGCATTTAGGGGAAAAAAACTTGAACCACTACCTTATTATTAACCTATAACAAAACATACCTCTGAATTAAATATCTTTTCAATCAGTTTTTACATATTTTTTAAAACCATACAGTGCCTTTTTAGATATGTTTTTAAGAAACATTTTTAACAAAGCAGTATAACTAAAAAGTATAACAAAAAGGCTTTTTTTAAAAAGAAGCAGAAATCAAAATAATTACAAAAATCTACCAAAACAAAAATGAGGGTTATGTAGCATGTTTACTATACCTTTGACAAATCTAGTTTTAATTAACCAGTCCCGTATGCCAGAAAGTGTGTTTTTTTTGGTCACTCTGTTTGAGCTGTTTTTGTACACATCTGAAAAGGGGAAGCTGAAAAGGGGAAACATCCAAGTTGAAAATGATTAGAAATATAACTACTCTACCACAAACCACACTCTATTCCCACAAAACTCAAGCAGACAAACATTTCAAACACTTCATATGTTAAATTCACATTTCTCTCTTTTGAGTGTTTGAGCAATGCAATGCTTAGCTGTAATTTATACCATTTTCACACACACACAGTGAGACAGAGTAATAATTAATTCATACTTCTGGCTGGGTTACAGTGCCTCCCTAAATGGCTCCATTCATATACAGTAGTATAAAAAAGTTTGGGCACCCCTGATCATTTTCAAGATTTTCCTTTATGGATCATTGGTTGTTCGGAACAGCAATTTCAATTAAATATATCATATAGCAAACAAACAGTGATATTTAAGAAGTGAAATGACGTTTATA